ATCCCTGTGTGTTTCTCTCTGTGTGTATGTTGAGATATGCTCTCTGTATGCAGCTCAGGTTGACCTCAGATTCACAGTCTTCTGCTTCAGCCTCCTGAGTGTTGGATTCCAGGTGTCACTCAGCGCAGCTGGCTTCATGTTCATATTTACACACGTGATCGCTCTCAGTGTCACTGAAACGAAGAAGTTCATGCTAGAGAAACCTTACAATGATGCATTTAAATAATCAGATTGGGGTCTCTAACTGATAGCATGCACCCAATAAACTCAGGGGTAGCTTATCTAATGCCACACTCCTCCCTCTACCGGTGGGGCTGGAAAGGCTCCAAATACCCAGGTTGCAGTTGAAATCAGGGTACATTTTGTTTGTTTGTTTGTTTGTTTGCTTTTGGAGACAGGGTTTCTTTGCATAGACCAGACTGTCCTTGAACTTGGAGATCCACCTACCTCGCCTGTGCCTTTCAAGTGCTGGGACAAAAGGCATGATATATAATATATAAAACATAGATTATTTCATTGTGTGTGTGTGTTCCTGTGTGTGTGTGTGTGTGTGAGCCCATGGAAGCCAGAAGAAAGCATTGGCTCCTCTGGAACTGAAGTTACAGCTGGAAGCCATCATGTGAGTGTTGGGAATGGAACCCAGGTCCTCTGTAAGAGCTCTTAAAGGCAAAGACATATATCTCCAGCCCCCAGGGTGCATTTTTATGAATCTCTTTCTTGATGTCAGGCAAGGTTGGGAGTAATGAACCCATGGAAGAAACTGAAACTTAGGGCTGTACTGTTGATATGGAAGTGTGGGGGACTTTCCTGTAGGCAAATTCCCGGGAGAGCTGTAGCTGGATCGTTTGCTTGTTCTGTTATTAGTATTTTTGAGGAACTTTCACACTACACTAGTTCCTGCTAAGAATTCCACTACTGGCTGCACTAGTTCACACCCCCAGCAACAGTATATAAAGGGCTCATTCCTTTGTTTGCTTAAAAAAAAACTCATGATTTTTCTAGTATCTTATCACTTACCTGTAGTCTCCTCCTGCCTTGGAAAATTAGAATGGCTGGTTCTGAGAGAGTGGGATGGGGGAGGGGAAGATGGGTGAGAGGATATGAATGGAAAACAGAAGTATAGGATATGAAGACTTGAGTGAGAAGGAGGTGGGGCAGAAATAGGCTGAGGGGTGGGTAGGGTTGACCATAGCAATTAGTGGTATTTAAATGGGGTCTTAGAAGAATGGAGTGGGAAGGAAGTGGGGCATGAAGCTTGCCAAAAACTGCATTCATTTACCTCTTGGGAGGCTCTTCATGTGATGAACCTATAAAACATACCAGGAAGAAGAATTTACATATATGTCTACGTATATATACATGTGTGTGCGTGTTTGTATGTGTGTGTGTGTGTGTGTGTGTGTGTGTGTGTGTGTGTGTGTGTGTGTGTGTGTGAATGACAGGGTGTCACTATGTAGCTCTGGCTGACCTGGAAATGATTATGTAGACCAGGATGGCCTTGAACTCACAGAGATTCACCTGTCTCTGCCTCCCAAGTGCTGAGATTAAAGGCATGCACCACCACTGCCCACATCTCATCAGAATCATTCTCTTGTCTCTCTCTCCCAGGCATGGATAGATTAACTCTTCTTAACTCACCTTGCTGAGTGCATCTGTAGATAAGGTAGATGGAGACAAAGAGGAGAGAGATGCAGAGGCAGCTGAAGGTGGTAAGGATGATGCGTTTGTTGTTTGATGGTCGGGGGGAATTTCCTCCACCTCCTCCCACTCCATCTGTACATCGGAGACGGAAATGGCAGCTGTATCATGAGATACCCCTGAGAGCACGTGTCGGAACAGCTGGAGAGGGCTGGACAGAGCCTCACACATGGGAAAAATTCCATGTGAGCATCTCACCCACAGCCATAAATTTGATCGTTTACCAAGAACAGAGTCACAGAATCAGTTTGCTTCCCCTAACAGTTTAGCAGAGCGGTTAAGAGGCTCTAGACACAGTGTGTGGTGGCACACTCTGAGAATTGCAGTGCTCCAACCAGAGGTGGGAGGATCTTGAGTTAGAGCCCAGCCTTGGTGATACAGTAAGTTTCAGGCTAGCCTCAAGTGCGTGTGAAATCCTGCCTGAAACTAAAAACAAAATAAGAGCCAGGAGCCAGGAAGCCTAGTTATCAAACTGGTGGCACTGTCTCGGGTGCCTGTGACACCTTTTGGATAAAGGGTCTAGCCCTGCTCAAGTAGGGCCATGGGGTGAGGGGAGTTAGAAGGTTATAATCCAGTCCTACCTTCTCACCCAACCTCTTAACTTTCTGGTCTTTTGAGATATGAATAGTCAAGGCTCCTTGTTGGATATTTTGGTGTCCATTTTTTTTTTAAATTTAAAGACATGTTTACTTGATGTATATGAGTGTTCTATTGCATGTACACCCAGAAGAGGGCATCAGATACCACTATAGATGGTTTTGAACCAGCATGTGGGTTCTGGGAATTGAACTTAGGACCTCTGAAAGAGCAGTCAGTGTTCTTAACCACTGAGCCATCTTTCCAGCTCTCATCCATTATTTTTTTGAGACAGGGTCTCACCGTGTACCCCTCGCTGGGCTGGAACTCACAGAGATGCACCTGCCTTCTGTGTGATGACGAAAAGCAGGCATCATCACAATTTTGAGTACCCAAGTTGGTAATTTATTCTCTCTCTCTCTCCCTCTTCCTCTATCACCTCCCTCTCACTATTTATTACTTAATAAACTTATTCATTCAAAATAGAAAATATATCTATCATAGATCATTCTCCAGAATGTACTTAACGACAAGATGGAAAATTTTCATCTATCAATTTGTGGGACTCTGATGTACAGTGTGGGTGTTGAGGAATGTATTCAATTTGTAATGATCATTACACAATGTGCACCTTGAGTATAATCTTTGTCAATTAAGTGTTTTTTTTTAAAAGAGAGAAAACATTTCACTATCTAAAACACGGAGTCTTAGTTTAAGATTTTTTTTTCTTGTATGTTTTTCGAGACAGGATTTTTTTGTGTAGCCTTGGTAGTCCTGGAACTCACTTTGTAGACTAGGTTGACCTCAAACTAAGAGATCCATCTGCCTCTGCCTCCGAGTGTTGGGATTAAGGCATGCACTACCACTGCCCAACTTTAGTTTAGGGTTTTTATTGCTGCGAAGAGACACCACGACCATGGCAATTCTTGTAAGGGAAAACATTTAATTGAGGGGGTTTGCTTACAGTTTCAGAGGTTTAGTCCTTTGTCATCATGAAGGGGAGCATGGTGACAGGCAAGCTGGAGCTGAGAATGTTACATCTTGCAGACAGCAGGAAGCTGACTATCACACTGAGGGAAGCTTGAGCAAAAGGGACCTCAAAGTCAGAGTTCACAGGGACAAACTTCCTTAAACAAGGCCACACTTGCTACCAGTGCCACTCCTGTTGGGGGACATTTTCCTTTAAAGCACATCCTTCTAATCCACATCCCCAAATCCTGAAACCCTTACAACATATAAATAAATTACTTTATTCTCCCATTGCAGTGCTGCCAGTGGAGTCTTGTTCTGTTTAACAAAATCCATGGTCAGTTTAAACACCTGTGATGGTTAGTTTTAATCGACGCTTTGACACGATCTAGAATCGCCTGTGAAGAGAGTATTGTGGTACTGTCTAGATCATGTTGGCCTGTGGGCAAGGGGTGGGGGACAGATTTGATTATATTTACAGGTAAGGAATGACAAGGCCTAACGTGGGTGGTGCCATTCCTTATGCTTGGGTCCTGTATTGTATAAGTGTAGAGAAAATGAGCTGGGTGCATTCATTCTCTCTCTGCTCTTGACTGTGGAATTATGAGTTCTTGGCTGTGAACATGACTAGCTGCCTCAGTTTCCTGCCTTGATTTCCTTCAAGGATGGGCTGATACCTGGAGTTTTAGCAGACTCTTTCTTCCCTAAGCTGTTGTTTGTTTTGGTCATGTATTTTATCCCAATAATAGAAATGAAGCTAGGACAGGACCCGAGGTGTAGGTGCTCTCAACCCCCTCCTCTTGTACTCTCCCTCATTCTCTGTTCTCCTTTCCACTTCATTCCTCCATTCCAGAAACACGCTTTCTGATATTGGCTTTTCCTGTTCTCTACCCACAAAGGCTTGTCTTCAGATGTCAGTGTGACTGGGTATGTCTCATCCCCTAGGACTGTGATGGACAGCCACCAAGTAGCTTCATGAGGCTAACCTTCTTCTGGTATTCACACTCCTGTCAACTCCTCTGTCTTTGAGCTTGGATACTTAGGCCTTGCTTCTAACCAACAAATATGCAAACACAGCAGAGTGTTTGAGTGTCATCCCCACGACAGTATGCTATTATCTAAGAACTCCCCTTAAACCAGTGCAAAAGAATTTTCCCCAATCCAGCTTCTAGAAGAAAATGCAGCCCTGAAAACTTGCCTGCAGCCTTGCGAGACCCAAAGCAGAAAACTCAACGAAACCTATTTCCCTCCTGACCCACTCAAACTGTAAGACAAACAAATGGATGTTTAATGGGGCTAAGATGCAGTTCAGTTGGTTGATTCATTGTCTAGCATGCATAAGATCCTGGGTTTGATCCCCTTGGTACCGTGTAAGCTGGGCGAGGTGGTTCATGCCTGCGATCTCAGTCCTTGGGAGGGAGAGGCAAAAGGATTAGAAGATCAAGGTTGTCCTTGACTATGTTAGGAGTTCAAGGCCAGCCTGGTCTACTTGAGACCCTGTCTAAAAAAATGGATGTTTTGAGCTTCCAAATTTGTGGTTATTTTAATAGTCTAACTGTAGACTACTAAGCATGATCACTCACTATCTATGATTTTCTTTTTAGAATTTCATTTCTGACTGTCCTCTTCCTGAGTATTGTGATCACAGATGCTCCAATAATGTGCTCACTGCCTTGAAATCAATTACACATTATAGCTCTAATAGATTTTAATTCACAGTCATTAGAACTTCGTGTACTCATATTTGGCTCTAAAACCCCAATGATAAGTTGCTGCTTCCAAGCTGTGACATCTGGTTCATTGTGTATTCATCTTCTACTGATCTACTGACCTTACATGACATCAGATTTTCTATTAATTCCCTCTTCTGAGGCATTCGTCTATGATTACATCATTGAGACCTAGTTGAAATCTCTGGCCAGAACCTCATCCCCTGCACTCAGCTCCATGTCTCCAGTCCCCTCTGAGGTATTGTAGCTTTATTGTTTCCTGGAGTCTCCAGCCAAGACCCATTAGAAAAGAAGGAACATGTCCACAAAGGAACTGATCTGACCATTTGGAAGGAGGGTGAGTGGGAGGGGAACTTAGCGAGGGGTCAATAATGCCAAGCAATGATATACTTGAAGGAAAATGTCATTAAACCTATCACTTTGTACAAGAGTTGCATAATAATACAAATTTGACTAAAAAGCCGAGCAAGTCATGGTGGACAGCACTTAGGAGGGGAAGACAAGAGCATCAGGAGTTCAAGGCCATCCTTAACTATATAATGAGTTAAAGAACAGCCTGGGCCAAGGCCAACCTTGTCATTGTCATTAGTTATAAATATAATCAATTATATCTATTTATAATTATTATAACAATTATTAGAAAACTAAACAAATGAAGTTATAAATATAAATAGTAATTTACAAAGTATATACAATTATAAAATATAGTTATAGCTAACTATATTTATAATTATTATAGCATTATTATTTTAAAACTCAAAAAGCAAGTCTGGGAAAATGACTTAGTGGGTAAAGGCCCTAGTATTAGAGACCTGAGTTCAGATACTCAGAGCCCATGTAAAACTGGATTGGTGCATCTGGTAGTACCGGTAGTCCCAGCACTTCCTCAGGGAAGTGGGAGGTGGAGACAAAGGGACCTCTGAAAGCTCTCAGGCCAGTTAGCATGGAGTACACAGCAACAATGCAAAAAGGAGACTCTGCCTCAAACAAGGCAGGAGGAAGACCATCATCCAAGGCTGTCCTCTGATCTCCACATGTGTGCCATAGTACTCTTGCACCCACACATACACACATATATCATACACATACACAAAATGAGTTTTAAAAATTCAAGGACTGGAGGAAATAAGCAAGTGTCATAACTTGTCCCCTGACCTCCTCACACAGGCTGGGGCATGTATGTGTACACACATGCACACACAATAAATTAAAAAAGTGTAAATTTCAAAACATATGAGGAGAAGGTCTGAGGCTGCTCGGCTCACCTGTGACCACCAGCTGTAAGTGCTGACTCCGTGCTGACCACCTGTGGGAAGCTGCTGTCCTGTAAGCACAGAAATAGCCCCCAGCATCTTCAGGCTGCACATGAGTGAGGTGGAACTCAGCCTCCTTTGCCGCTGATCTTAGCTCCTGCTGGTACCCAGAGTTGTGCAATTTTCCCAGAGTAACTGTAACATTCTGGAAATGAGTCCAGCATCGGAGAGTGACGTTACTCTTGCACCTGACCACAGAGCTGGGCCAGGCACTGATGGAAGGTATGGGAAGTTCCTCTGGAAAGAATTCAGAGTTAATTGACTTTCCATCATGGTAAACCTCTCCTAGAATTCTAAGGATTAAAGGTGTGATGGTTAATATCAGTTATAACTTGATGAAGTCTTTAATCACCTGGGAGACAGGCTTTTAGCCCATGCTTGTGAGAGGCTATCTTATTTGTCTGACATGGAAAGACCCATCCACTATGGGTGGCACCATTCCTTAGACTGTGGTCCTGCATTGTATAAAATGAAGAGGGCTAGCAGGAGGGCTCAGCTGCTAAAAGTCTCACTGCCAAGCCTGAGAGCCTGAGTTTGATTCCTGAGGCCCACACTGGTAAAGGATAAAACTGACCTCCATATACATGCTGTGACATGTTCACGTCCCACAAACCCATATACATAAGTAAATGCAAGATTTTTTTTTAAAGGAGAAAGTGAACTGAGCATAAGGGTTCATTGCTCTCTTGTTCTTAAGTATCATTTCTTTCTTTTTTTTTTTAAAGATTGATTTATTTATTATGTATACAACATTCTGCCTCCATGTACGCCTGCAGGCCAGAAGAGGGCACCAGATCTCATTACAGATGGCTGTGAGCCACCATGTGGCTGCTGGGAATTGAACTCAGGACCTCTGGAAGAGCAGCCAGTGCTCTTAATCTCTGAGCCACCTCTCCAGCCCCCTTAAGTATTATTTCTTAAGGCTAGAGAGATGGCCTGTGACTAAGAGCATTCTAGGGGATCCATGTTAGGTGTCTCACAACCAGCTGTGTCTCTAGCTCCAGAGCATCTGACACCCTGACTTCCAAAGGCACAGAATTCATGTATACAAACACACTTACACATGATTAAAATATTTTGTTTTCTAAGCTTAGGACTGGAGAGACGGGTCATGGTTAAGGGCACTAGCTGTTCTTGCAGAGGACCCAGGCTGGATTTCAGAGCGTACACAACAGTTCACAGTTGCCCGTAACTCCAGTTCCAGGGGATCCAGTGACCTCTTCTGGCTTCTTTGGGTACTGCACATAATGGTATATTCACACAAATGCTTGAAAACACTTATATACATAAAATATTCTTTAAAAAGTTTTAAAATAAAATTTCATTTTGAGTGTGTGTGTGTGTGTGTGTGTGTGTGTGTGTGTGTGTGTGTGTGTGAAGTGCGTGTGTGCCACAATGTATATATGGATGTAGGAGGACAACTTCTGGGAGTTGATTCTCTTCTTCTACTATGTGGGCTTCCACATTGTCAATCAGCACCTGCCTTTATTTACTGAGCCATCTTATCCTGCCCACTCTCTTCTTCTTGAATATGGATGCAATATAACCAGTTGCCCCAAGCTCCGGTTGCTGTGACCTCCCCACCAATAGGGTCTGAAACCTCAAACAGTAAGACAAACAGATCATTTCTCCCTTAACTTGCTTTATCAGGATTTATCACAGCAACAGGAAAAGTAGCTAATGTAGGGCAAAAAGCCCAAGCTCATTTCGGGGTTTCAGAAACCCACCAATCTCTGAGCTCAAAAACCAACCAATCCTTGATGTTGGAAACCCACCAATTCCTGAACTTGGGAACAAACCAACCCTGAGTTTGGAAAACCACCAATTCCTGATCTCACCCTAAGCTCAGGACTTGAAACCCTATGGATCCCCACCCTGAAAATGCTACCCCCTTGTAGAAACCCTCCATAGAATGCCTGCCTGCTGCTTAGTTCTTCGCTGCTTCTCGTCCTGGCAGAGGCGATCACTCTCTTGTGTCTGTCCCAGTAAATTTCTTGTGTGAGGTTTGTTGTGTGGGCTGACTTTGGGGCATTCCCTGACTCCTGACTGCGGGATACTTTTCTCTTCCGAGGTGTAGCACTCACATTGGGGGAAACCATTCTCCTCAGATCTGGAACACTTGCAGCTACTACAAAGGGAGAGGGTCACGGAGAGTGGAGCAGGGAGCACGTAGAGGTCGTGTGGAAACTCACCATTCTCTTCCTCATCGCCATAGCACAGGCACAGCCCTGGAAGAAGAGAAACCTCGGTGAGAGAGAGACTGTGTCCTCCGACTTGAAACACTACCTCCCGGCTGAGAGGAGAGTATATAAAAAAAAGTGGGAGTAGATAAAATACACTAGGCTTAGGGAGTGAACAAAACCTGCAAGGCTCATGAAGCTTTCCCAGCTCAGGATATTCACAAGGAGCCCCTTCCAGGGTTATAAAGGCAATCACCATTGCTGGGGAGAAAAGGCTCTTCAGTGTGCACAAGTTGTGGGCAGTTCCAGGGGTGCTGCTTTTATCAGTTGTGACTTATCCTGGGGCACGCTTTTTCCTGATGTGGCTGACCGTGTAAGCCCAGCTCCTATAGTAATCCCTTATACTCCTGGCACAACTCACTGGTTCACCAAGATAGACTTGGGTAGAATCGAGGTAGGCAAGTGTAGGGCTAACTGAGTAACCTAGGATGCCATTTGGCTAGAGCAATATACACACTATCTTCCTTAGAATGCACATATCAACCTGGGACCCCCGCTTCATGCATAGACCAGGGTCCAAACAATGCACTATGTCATTCCTCCCTAAGAAATGTTGGGTGACTCATTTTTTTGTGACCAAAAACATCCTGAAACTAAATGAAAGGGCTCAATACAGGCTGAAGAAATTTAGGGTGCATTAATGGTACGTCAAAATACATCCTTGGAATAAGCATTTAGGGCAAATCACTCTTCACTGTACTATACCTATGCATGATTAAGATCAGATGCATCTTAGGTAAAGATGTGTGCAACAAATAAAGGCTTATATATCTAAGCCTATCAATCAAATCCAAAAGGCCCCTGCATTCTGCCTCCAGCAACCAGTCCCTCTTCCTAGACTCACAAAAGGAAGTCCCAGACAGTAACCAAGGGCTCTTGAGCCGTCTAGGCCGGGTAGCCTGCTATAATTTTGTAGTCTATCTGACCTGTGATTTTTCTTTGATTCTGAATAAAGACCCTTGCTATTTTACCATTTGTGTATGTTTTCAGTTATTTGAACACACACACACACACACACACACACACACACACAAACTTGGAGACACCTGGTCAAGTCTGAGACCATGAAACAACCAGTACCAGAATCATTTCTTTGGTCTGTCATCAGTGTCCTATCTGGAGCAATATACGTTTGTTTGAGTTCTAATCTGTTCTACTTTCATTCTGTTGCTGTGATAAAAACACTGATCAAAAGTGACCTGTGGAGAAAAGGGTTTATTTAGTTTCCACATCAAGGCAACAATCCATTATTGAGGAAAATCAGGGCAGGAACTAGGAGGCAGAAACCAGGGAGGGACTGCTTGTTGGTTCACTCACCCGGCTCATATATAGGTGACTTTTTTTTTTTAAAGATTCGTTTATTTATTATGTGTACAGTATTCTCAGGATTCTGTCTGCACATAAGCCTGCAGGCCAGAAAAGGGCACCAGATCTCATTACAGATGGTTGTGAGCCACCATGTGGTTGCTGGGAATTGAACTCAGGACCTTTGAAAGAGCAGGCAGTGCTCTTAACCACTGAGCCATCTCTCCAGCCCTTTAGCTGACTTTTTATACAGCCCAGGCTCACCTGTCTAGCAATGGTGCCACCAACAGTGAGCTATGTAGGTTGAGTGTTTCTTGGGACTGCTGGCTCCAAAATAAATGCACAGAGACTTAATATTAATTACAAATGCTTGGCCAATAGCTCAGATTTGTTACTAGCTAACTCTTACAACTTAAATTAACCCACTTCTACTAATCTACATTCTGCCACGGTCATTACTTCTCTTTCACCTTGGACTCTCTTTCTCCTGTTTCCTCTCTGTGTCTGGCTGGCACAGTCAGCTTCTTTATTAATTCAACCATGGCAACATATATTCACACAGTTTAAAATAATATTCCACAGGGATATTTATGCAGGAGGCTGGGCACTCCTGCATAAATTAGTAGCCAAGAAATTAAGACAATCCCCCATAGACATACCCAGTTTGATCTAGGCAATTCGTTAGTGGAGGCTTTCCTCTCAGATGATCCTACGCCATGTCTAGGGTGTGTCAAATTGACAATTAGAGCTAACTAGGAGAGAGCTTGAGGGTGGGCAGAGGTGGTGGTAACCATTAGTATGGCCATGAGTGATAAGTGTCTTCTTCTTCTTCTTCTTCTTCTTCTTCTTCTTCTTCTTCTTCTTC